AAAGTAGAATGTGGCCATCTCACAGAAGTTTTGTGCATTCATCCTGAACATAACAAAATTCACCTTCCTACTCTATTGGTGTGCAGAACAACAGATGATCCCAATTTTAAAATGACATAAAATTAGAAGTTATATTTTATAAAATTCTTTGATGAGGCTGCTATGGTTTGAATGTGTCCCCTCCAAAGTTCAGGTGTTGCCAATACGATAGGATTAAGAGGTGGGGCCTTTAAGAGGTGATCATTCCCTGGAGGCGCCTCCCTCCTGAATGGGATTAGATGATCTTATAAAGGGGGTTGATAAAGGGAGTTTATTTCTTTTTTTTTTTTTGCCCTTCCACCTTTTGCCATGTTAAGACACAGCATTCTTCCCCTCTGCAGAATGCAGTGTTCAAGGCACCAGATTGGAAGTGGGGAGCAGCCCTCACCAGATGTCAGCACCTTGATCTTAGACTTCCCAGCCTCCAGACTGTGAGAAGTAAATTTCTGTTTTTATAAATTACCCTGGTTGTGGGTATTTTGTTATAGCAGCACACAACAGACTAAGACAGAACAGACTTTTCATGACTCTCAGGGAGGCTCCCACAAATTCCAACCAGACAGTATCTCCAATAACTTCCTTGGTTCCTAACAATTACATGTAGGCTGCAGAAAATGAGAATGAATCAGAAATGAGAAAGCATCTAGATCAAAAGATCATAAATCATCATCTAATTGGATACAGAAACATGGCAAAGTCACCAGGAGCAAGGGAGGTAAATCAGTTGATGTAGTGCCCTTAACCAAATTTAAATTTTGACTTTGGCAGGTATATTTGCTCAGCTTACACAACAGATTGCCCACTGTAACTAAAGGTCCAAGAGTGGCCCTGCAGGAGATAGCTCTGTTCAAAATCAGAAATTGTGCATCACACTAGGGACAAACTTCTGATACATAGCTCAAGCACTGAGTATCATCCCCACTTCAGCCCAACCCATAATCTAACTCCAAACCAACAAATATCTCAATGGTCCCTGGACAGTATTTTTCTGTCCCAGCACCTTCACTCAAGCATTTGCCTCCATTTGGAAAGCCCCTTCCCTCCTCTCAGTCTGTGCCTGAAATTATATCTTATCTCTCAAGATAGCTCTTCTATAAGCTTGTCTTGATCCCCAAATCAAGTCATCTCTTCCTGCTTTGTAGCACTGTTTGTGTTCTCTTCCAGCATTTTATCTTATTCTATCCTATGTGAGACTGAGTTGAGTACTGTCATATGCGGAGGTCCTTGGGGATAGATAGGCTTTTACTCATCTTCATTAGATTATGGTAAACAATGGCCAGGGCTGCCAAGCTCAGCCCTCTTGGGTCTTGAACAGACTGGTCATCATTGGACCATTGCAGCCCATGTGTAATGCTTACTCATCCCTTCATAACATACAATGAAGCAAGATGGAGCTGGTGGTGTAGTTAAGATACCATACTTGGAATCTAGTTGTTGGATTCAGAAGAGTGAGCTCGTGAAAGGAAGCTTTTGCAACTACATGCGTTAACAATGCTATTGCTTTAGAGTGACTTGCAGTGTAATTCTAAGAGGATGGGTAAGTCCCCATGCAAAACTTCCTGGACACTGGCAGGACCTCATTGTGAGTGGGGAGAATACAATGTCTCCAACCAAGGGGATGTTTGGAACTCATCATCAATTTATTACCAGGCTTCAATTTATTTCACAGAGAAAAATGAATAACAGGTCAAGCTGCCTGAGTTTAAGCAAGATGTCAGATTTTAATGCTTTGGCAAAGACTGAGTTCAGAGACCAGGTTTCAACTTCAGGTAGTATGAAGAAGACCTATGGCTTAGCCTCACTTCTTTTTAGGTATCTAAACCATCTGATGTCACCTTTAGAGGAACTGGATGTCTAACTTCATGCAACAGCAGTCAGGAAAACAGGCATTCCTTCTCCTCAAGGTTTTGATCAAAGGAATAAAAAGTGGCTCAAGAAACAATCCCATCTATTCAAGAGAATTGCATACTATCAATTATGCTACATTACTGCAATAAAATATTTAGGAGACATTCTCTTAAGTTAATCTAGACACAATTGGCTTAAATTAAATTTCAACTTGGCAGGTATATTTGCTCAGTTTACACAACAGATTCTCCATTGTAACTAAAGGGCCAAACTTGGCCCTTTGGGAGATAGCTCTGTTCAAAGTCAGAAATTGTACATGATACTAGGGATATAAAGTTCTTAAAATTACTTTTATATAGCATTCATTTTCTATAAAAAGCACTACCTGCTTTTTGCTCTAAGAAAATCTGGAAAATAGAGAAAAGTAGAGAAGAAAATAAAAATAAAAATTAAAAATTAAATTAAATAAATTTAATAAAATTAAAAATAAAAATTCCCCACTTGCTTCAGTCTCATCACCATCCCTGGTACCTACACATCCGTCCCCCTAGTTTCTCATCTCTTGCCTGGTTCCTTGTTCTAGGTTCCTTGACATTCCTGGTGACTACCCAGGTTAAAGGGATAGACTCATTCTACATTTAGGCTGAATGATAGCCAGCACATTTACAGAAAGCCTAGGCAGACAGCAACTGATATAGTGTCTCCTCTGGGGGTATAGCTTTGTGCTATATATAACTTGCCTGTGCTACCACATATTTTATTAACAGCTCCATCACGGAGCACAACCTTATAATTACTTACCAGATTAAAATAATCCAGCCTTATGATTATTTGCCAGATTAAAATAATCCAGCCATGGCTTAGAATAGAACTCAAGTCAAGTATAAAATCTGAACTATGGGGTTTCAATAGCATACCATGGCCAAGGTTTTGAGTGAAACTTTTGCGCTGCTTCTGTTTTCCAACCAGAAAGGGAACTCCAGATAGCAGAGAGAGATCTACGTGCTCCCATTCCTTAGCCCCAGTAGGTGCTCAGTAAACGGTGAAGGAGTTACTTTTTTCATTTAACTCTTGATTCAAAGTTGTGGTTATTGTTGCAGGGAATTTGGTTTACTCACCAGATAGTATTCAAGCAAGAGACTGTCAGGTACCTACTCTTTTAAACAATCTCATTGACTTTGAAAACTACTTTTGAAAGCTGCAAGTAAAAACAAACAAAAAATACAGATATATAAGCCAAAGGGAAGATACAAAGGAAGTTCAAGGAGAAAACTCAAGAATTTCACAAGTAGGTAAGGTAGCTTTGGTTCCCATTTCTAAAGTCACATGACTAAAGAAACTCATTACCCTGGGAAACATTTTAAACCTTGGAGTAAGTAACTATGAGAGGATTTTTCAATTACATTTTTTAAAGTATATAAATATACATATAAATGATTCACTTCTTCAACTGAAGAGTTCACTGCAGAAGATACAAATTATCTTGAGTATGCAGATGAAAGTAGTATCAAGTGGTGTGTAGCTTCTCTTTCATAACAAGTACTAAATCAACAAAGATGGCAACTCAGTATCGAGAATAAGAGAAAAATAATGTAGAAGATGTTTATCTATTTGGGCCAAAAACCTAAATCACCAAAAAAAGAAAGTGGCTAGAAGTGGAGACCAAAATACAGAACAAGTGTAGAAAAGCAAGCAATTTTCGAAGTAGAATCACTTGAATCCAGGAGGCAGAGGCTGCAGCGAACAGAGATAGCACCACTGCACTCCAGCCTGGGCGACAGAGTGACACTCTGTCTCAAAAAAAAAAAAAAAAAAAAAATGTAGCTGGGTGTGGTGGTGCGCACCTGTAGTTCCAGCTGCTCCAGAGGCTGATGTGAGATGATTGCTTGAGCCCAGAGTTAGAGGCTGAAGTGAGCTATGATCACCACTGCACTCCAGCCCGAGCAACAAGCAAGATCTCACCTAAAAAAAAAAAAAAAAAAAAAAAAAAAAAGGCCCCACCTTGAATCTTTTTTAGAAAAAAGCAGGTTGTAAATAAACACAATTTTAAAAAATGAAATATTTTGCAAACTAGAAAACAAAAATATTATGAGTGTTTTTTAAAAAAAATATGTAAAAGACTGTATTTGAGAGCACAAATGTGGTAAAACAAAACAAAACAAAACAAAACATTACACTGAAACCTTTGGTTATCTGTAGGGAATGAACCCCTGGGGGTTTTCTCTATTTACTTTGCATGTATTTTAACCCAGGTAATTGTAATACAACTTGACTGAAGAGTGTCTGAAGAAAATGCATTACAGTACAGAATGTTAGGTACGATCCTGAAGCAAGTGCAAAGACAGCCGCTGAGCATATGAAAGTACAGAGAAAGGGCACCAGGGTGGGGTGTCAAGTCTTCTGAGGGGAGATGCCAGGAGGAGAGTATAAGGGAGATACAGGGCATTCCAATAATGATAGTGCTTTTCACCTCACCGATCTATAGTAAGAAAGAACGATTGGGTTCTGCAAGTTACCTGGGCATACTAAAAGAAAATACAAAACAAACAAACAAATAAACAAAAAGAACCCATGGTGTCATAACTGCCCCACCATGGCCCACAGGCTTCCTCCAGGCAGGCTGTCAGTGGATCTTGTCTAAACTGCCTTGACTCGAAGTTACCTGTGTTTAGGTAACTGTTGAGTCTTCCTCAACCATATTGTGAGGTTATGGGGACAAGAACCAAGTTTAGATCCATTTCTATGTCCTCGGCACCCAGAACTCTACCTGGCCCAGAGAAGCTCAATAAATGTTGGTAGGATTATACTGAATTAAAGGCAAGGAGGCATTGGAGTCCATAAACACGAGTTTAATTAGCCCCTGGGGCTCTACAGGGAAGAAATAATCAGACTTCAAGGGTGCCCCATTCCCCAGAGTCCATTCCTGGTATTTGAAAGAGCAATATGCCTCGGAGTGTTGTGAGTCCACTGGAGGCTCAAGGAGGAGACCTAGGGCCAAAAGCGAGGACTCAATCCTTTTCTGCCAGTATCGGGGGACAGTGCCCCAACGTCTCAGGAGCCCAGGGCGACACCAGCCCCGGGGCGGGGATCGGGCAGGATTCTCATCTACTCACGCCCGGGCAGCCGTCGGCTCTTCCCACTGGATCTCCGCCGGGACCAACTCCCACCCTCGCCGTACAAGCTCAGACCTGCTGCTCCGCAAAGCAGAATTGGAAATGCTCCAGATGGGATGAGGAACGAGGACAGAAAGTCAAATATATCAACAGGTGGCTTCGCCGGAGGGCGTCCGAAAACCTCTGCCTACTGAACCGCTTCACGCCTAATCCCCGCCGCCCACCGGCTGAAATGTTACAAGACATAAATTCTCGAATCCTGTCTGCGGAATTCCCCGCCCCCGCGCAGTTGAAACTTGCACAGGGCCACTCGCGTGTCTCTGGGTGGTGATATTCTCCATGCGTGGTCAAAGGGCTTATGCATATCTCAGGACAGTTACGTGCGGCCCCACCAGGACTGAGTGGGGACCGCCGGTGCGCCCCCACCACCTACTAGGAGCTGCGGTAGGACCTCCGATGCCCCAGGGGCCTAGGCAATTTCCGTTTCAGCTTCCTGGAGGCCCCCAGCCCAAGGCTCAAAAAACTGCACGTAATCCCGCCCACCCCGGGTCATGCAAGACTTTCGGGGTAGGGGGAAACCCAGCGACCCTGCAAATGGCTTCACCTTGGAAACCGGTACAAGGAAGCAAGCAAGTATAAGGAAGCAAGTAACCGGTGTAAGGAAGCAAGTAAGGAGGTCAAATGTCAGTTACAAACAGAAACGTAAAACATAAAGTCGCTAGAGAAAGCCATTTTAACGAGGACATTTGACCCAAAAGCTGTAAGTAAAACAAGTATTAACAAAACAAGAAAATGTATGTAAAGCAAACATTTACAAACATTAAATGTATGTAAAGCAAACAGTAAACATTCAAAACTCCCTTTCGACCCAGTCTTTTTTGTTTAGATCTTGGAGTTGGGCCGGGCGCGGTGGCTCACGCCTGTAATCCTAGCACTTTGGGTGGCCGAGACGGGCGGATCACCTGAGGTCGGGAGTTCGAGACCAGCCTGATCAATATGGAGAAACCCCGTCTCTACTAAAAATACAAAATTAAGGGCATGGTGGTGCATCCCTGTAATCTCAGCAACTTGAGAGGCTGAGGCAGGAGAATTGCTTGAACCCGAGAGGCGGAGGTTGCGGTGAGCAGAGATCTGTGCCATTGCAATCCAGCATGGGCAACAACAGTGAAACTCTGTCTCAAAAAAAAAAAAAAAAAAAAAAAAGATCTTGGAGCTCGAGCCAGGTTTTTTGTTAAACAAAACTTTTGTAAGGTTATTTAGGGGAATCACCAACCCGAAAAGGGCCAAAAACTCCGTTCTTCTTATCTGAAATCTCTCTCTAAAGCAGGTCAAACCTTCCAGAGCCCGCTCTCAGTTCTAGATTATTGCAGTTTGTTGATATTCAAAACGCTTTACTTATGCTATATGCTAACCCCCTACTGGTTTCACCCCTCATTGCTTAAGAACAAATTTCAAATGTCAACCAATTAAAACATTCGTAAGACCTCTGGCGTCCTTGAATTTACTTCCTACTCCGTGGAGCCAAAAACTAATTCTGAATTTCAGTGGCCTTTGTTCTACTGCGTGCCACTGTTAATATTAAAAGAACATGGCCTTCTGTCCAAATCCGGACACTCTCAAGTAAGAACATCTTGAAGTCATTTTACATTTCCCAGTCCTTTTGAAGCGGTGGAAAAATGGCAGAAACAGGTTCATTTTAAAAGGCTCTAAAAACGTTTCTTCAGTCAGGCATTCCCAGCTTTTCCAAGGCAAGCTTTCCTTGCACTTGGGCAAAATAGATATTAAACTGCTCTGGAAAATAACAGCCCTGACTAGGCTATTGTTAAATTCCCTACAGGGCGGCGGCTCCCACTGAGTGAGGTCGAACGCACACACAACTGTTGGGAAAGTCCACGTTCCCAACAACTTTCGAAAGGAAAAGTGCCAGATCTTCTCAACAGTTCACTCCAAGAATTGAACTCTCAAGATCATTTTAAGCAAAGTTTACACAACGCTGAGGACCCGCCACTGAAGCTCGCGGGTGGGCCTCTGCGGTTGCGGCTGCAGGGGGCGGCTAGAGTTAGCCAAGGTTTACTTCCGGTCTCTCAGGTCCATTGGGGTGAAGCTCGGACCGCAGTGGCCCAGGTCGCCCCTTTTTGGGAATCCGGGGCGGAGTTGCCAGCAGAAAGGGTTCGGGGTTTCGGAGCGGGGCGGAAGCGGAAGCGGGGGCATTCCGCTCAGCCCGCGGTAAACAACCGAGATAAGAAATCTACAAAACTGAGTCAGGTTCCAGAAGCGCCCCCGCCATCCCCTGGCCACTGCCGGCCACCTGCAGTTTCCCGGAGCGCAGGGCTGTGAGGAGCGGCAGGAGTGGGACGTGGGCGCGTGGGCGCGCGGCGGCTCAGGGCCTGCTGCAACGCTGACTCAGGGCCGGGCGTCGGGGCTTGGGGTCTGGGACAGCTCCGGCGCCGCCGGCGGGGGTAGAGCGTGGGGCACGTACCGTCCTGTCGCGGCCGGACTCTCCTGCCGCTGACACCTCAGCCTTAGCTCCCCTAGACGCCCGAAAGGCGCACGCAAGATGGAGGCAAAGAAACCGAAAGCCTGGAAGCGGACTCGGAAGCGGACTCGGTGCTGGGCGATGGCTGTTCGCAGCGCTTCTCTCCCACACCCCCTCCCGTGGTCTTTGGATAGCCCTGGGCTTTGCCTCAGCTGTCACTGGACAAAAGTCCAATAGCCGGCACTCACTGTGTTAGGCCGAGTCCCCATCCCTAGCTCCGGGAGTCCTTTTTAGTTGAGACTCGTCGGTGAGGCTGCCAACTCGCTGTTTCCTGCTTTGGCTTGTGTGACTGAGTATGCAGTAACCGAGGGTGGATGTCGACATAAGTTCCACGCGTTAGGAGTAAACCCTGCGAGGTTTTTTGGGTTTTTTTTTTTTTTTTTTTTTTTTTTTTTTTTTTGCTTGCTTGCTTTCTTCTTTTTTGAGACGGAGTCTCACTCTGCGGCCCAGGCTGGAGTGCAGTGGCGCAATTTCAGCTCACTGCAACATCCGCCTCCCTAGTTCAAGCTATTCTCTTGCCTCAGCCCCCCGAGTAGCTGGAACTACAGGCGCGCACCACCACTCCCGGCTAATTTTTGTGTTTATTAGAGACGGGGTTTCACTGTTGGCCAGGATGGTCTCGAACTCCTGACCTTGTGATCCGCTCGCCTCGGCCTCCCAAACTGCTGGGATTACAGGCGTGAGCCACCCAGCCAGGCGCGAGTGTTTATGATTTGATGTCTGGGAGTCATAGCAAACGTGAACGCACTTTGTGGTTTTTTGTGTGTATGTTGTTTTTTGTTTTCCTTCTTGAGACAGGGTCTCGCGCTGTCGCCGAGGCTAGAAGGCAGTGGCGCCATCACGGCTCACTGCAGCCTGGACTTCCTGCGCCCAAGCCATCCAACCCCCTCAGCCACCCGAGTAGTTGGGACCACAGGCACAGGCCATCATGCCCGACTAATTTTAGGGTTTCACCATGTTGGCTAGGCTGGTCTCCAACTCCTGGCCTCAAGTGATCCTCGCCCGCCTCGGCCTCCCAAAGTGCTGGGATTACAGGCGTCAGTCACCGCGCCCCGCTAAGTTTTTATTTATTCCTATTATCTATCTACTTTATTGTGATTCTTAAAAAGCTTTAACTTTTCTTGAAATAATTTTAAACTCACAGGAAAGGTGAAGAATAATACCAAGAGAGACTAACTGCAGGACGGCATGAAGAGCTCAGGATTCACCCCTAGTGAAACTGAAAATTATTTAAAACAACAAACAACCATTAACTATTTTAAGCGTCTGAAATGGTCCTAAGGGCAAACAGCAAATGAAGAAACATGTATTCCAAAAAATCTATAAAAATTCTTGCATCAGAATGTGAGAGTTTGTGGTATTTAAAGCAAACCTCTCCCTTTGTGCAGCAAGACAGACTCCACTCCAGACGGCTGCAACTAAGAACCTCTGTCTTCCCACAGCTCCCAGTCAGAGACCAGCATGTCAGCATTTCTCATCTTGCCCCTAGCTACCTGATGCTGAAGCTAAATCCTGGGGAAGTGTGGTGGAGAGGTGGCAAAGTCCTTCTTCCATTCAGAGGCTCTACCTTGGGTGGAGTGCTGAGACACAAGAGGAGACTTTAGCTCTTTTTCTCCATTACTTTCACCCCATATTCACCCCCAACCTTTTTTTTTTTAATCTCTCCATCTTCCCAAGATAGTTACATTCTGATTCTGATTAATCTTCAGTACATATGCTATTACAATCATGTAAACGGTAGTCACAGCCAAGTTAATGTACCAAACTATGATTACTTTTCCTTTCCCACACAACTTTTAGATTTTTCTGGAGTTAATAATTGTCTTGTTTTGTTGGTTTTTCCATGTAATTAAATACTAAACTGTTTGTCAGTTATCCAAGTTTGGTTTTTTGTTTGTTTTTGAGAAAGGGTCTCACTCCAGGCTGGAGTGCAGTGACCCGCTCACAGCTCACTGCAGCCTTAACCTCCTGCCTCCTGAGTTCAAGGGATCCTTCTGCCTCAGCCTCCTGAGTAGCTAGGACTAGAGTCCTAGCATGCCACCATGCTAGGTGTGCCACTACAGGTGCCACCATGCCCAACTAATTTTTAAAAAATTTTGAGGCCGGGCACGGTGGCTCAAGCCTGTAATCCCAGCACTTTGGGAGGCCGAGACGGGCGGATCACGAGGTCAGGAGATCGAGACCATCCTGGCTAACACGGTGAAACCCCGTCTCTACTAAAAAAATACAAAAAACCATCCTGGCTAACACGGTGAAACCCGTCTCTACTAAAAAATACAAAAAACTAGCCGGGCGAGGTGGCGGGCGCCTGTAGTCCCAGCTACTCGGGAGGCTGAGGCAGGAGAATGGCGTGAACCCGGGAGGCGGAGCTTGCAGTGAGCTGAGATCCGGCCACTGCACTCCAGCCTGGGCGACAGAGCGAGACTCCGTCTCAAAAAAAAAAAAAAATTTGTGGCCGGGCGCAATGGCTCACGCCTGTAATCTCAGCACTTTGGGAGGCCGAGGCGGGTGGATCACAAGGTCAGGAGTTCAAGACCAGCCTGGCCAAGATAGTGAAACCCCATTTCTACTAAAAATACAAAAAATTAACTGGGTGTGATGGTGGGCGCCTGTAATCCCAGCTACTCAGGAGGCTAAGGCAGACAATTGCTTGAACCCAGGAGGCAGAGGTTGCAGCGAGCCTAGATTATGCCACTACACTCCAGCCTGGGAGACAGAGCGAGACTCCATCTCAAAAAAATACATATATATACACACACACACATATATGTGTGTATATATATGTATATATGTATATACTATATAGTATATGTATCGTGTTCATATATATACACTATATATAGTAGAAGTGGAGGTCGTGGGTTGGGGGAAGTCTTGCTATGCTGCCCAGGCTGGTTTTGTTTTTTGTTTTTTGGTTTTTTTTTGAGACAGTCTGCTCTGTTGCCCAGGCTGGAGTGCAGTGGCCAGATCTCAGCTCACTGCAAGCTCCGCCTCCCGGGTTTACGCCATTCTCCTGCCTCAGCCTC